ATTTTTAAAGAACTCTTTCTTTAATTTTTTTCCTTAGGGGAGTTCCTTAAACACTTTCCATGTTACATTAACAAATTGTTATAAGTAATATTTGACTGTTTAGTAGACTAATCAATCAATGGGTCTTAAAATCTTTTATGTTTTAATTCTTGGGTTCTTTTCCTGAGAAATACTAAAGTAGAAAGAAATGTCATCAAGAATCAAAGACACTGAAGTTTCAAAGGGAGAGTTGACATGGGTTATGTGTGACCTATAGTATACAGAACCAAAATTTTGTGGTCTAGCTTTCAAAAAAATGCAACTGTTTTTTTTTTTAATGTGCTATGAACAGGAAAAAGAAATGATCAACTGGCAATGACTTGTTCTTCTTCTGTCACACAGCTATGTCATTTCCTGTTGGTTGAAGAGTGAGGACTAAATCAATAGAGCAGCCATAAATCACACTACAGACAGCATTAATAAGGAAAAACAAGACCAAATTCTATAGTCTAAATTTAAGTACCCTTACCAAACAACCTACACAGCTTATTGTACATGCTCTCAATGGCACAAACAGCTACAAACTTAAGTGAAAGCAAAGTATTCATTTCCAAGAAAACAAAATCTTCCCAAGTGGCACATTCAATCCAGTGAATCTAACTAACTTGCTTTGCTCAATTTCTCTTTCTTCCCCACACTTGCCTCCAATTTTGTTAGCACCAACAAGGTCAGTTGAGTGACTGCTCTAAAGAAGATATGCCTATCTGAAAGGGTCACTTTCCAGTACAGAACAGGTTACCTTGCCCTTTTGTTGAAAAATTCATGCATTTGAAACTATTTTATATCCACTACCTTACTAGATCTTTAGGAAAAGTCCATGTCTCTTCCGTATGTTTTAGGCTAATATCTAGGAAGGCATTCTGTCCATGTTCTCATTTTCTGCCAATGCCTTTAGAAAATTGTTTTCTTTTCATGATGAATTTGCTCCTACAGTTACTTCTACTGAGTCTGAGGAAAGGCAGACAAATATGCAGATGCCAGCATATACAATTTGAATTTTGTCACACCGTCCATGTAGAGCTGAGAGTCCCATTAGTACACTGAGCATAAAAAATGAGAGATGTCTGTAGTCCAGTTCTAAAGAAAGAGTGGGCACATACATTACTCAGTAACCTCATTGAACAACTGAGAGGAGACAAATATTATCCCCTTGTAAAAATGAGACTAAAGGAAAGCACTCAGTTGGTGTTTGCCAAAGGTTAGACTGTGTTTACTTAAGCCTGGAATTGAACCCAAATTTCCAATGTTGTAGTTCAGTGCTCATAAGAAGAACAGAGAGCCACTATGAGTAATTCACAATCCCTAAAGAATATTTCTCATGCACTTACCCTCTCTATCCCCAGGATCAACTTCCTGTGTCATATGAGATGCAATTTCAATAGGGGAGGAAACTTCCTCCAATTAAAGCAAAGGGTTAATCCAAAGGAAGTAATCTTTATGTTCAACCTCTTAGGGAAATTAAATGCTGAGTACACAAAGCAGGTGAACCAGTACAAATCAAAATGCTTGCCCTTCTCTTGTTGAACTTCTGAGACGTTAGAGAAAGGAGTTAATGATAAGGAAGACAAATGGGAAGAACACTGAAAGGAATGACACTGGAATGTTCTACGTGGGGTCTCAGACCATCCATCTGAAACTTGCTACCACAGTCTAAAATGTTAGTCTTTTCTGGGACTTCAGATATGATTTCGGTCTGAAATGCTCATTGAAGATGTACAGGTTCAACCAGCTCTCACAGTTAGTGGAGAGACCTGGAACTCAAGCCACTCATGCTTGCATTCATTCATTCATTCATTCAAGTAATTATATTGCTCATCTGTCTCACAGCTTACACTGTCTGACTGCATATTTTGCTCAGAATAAAACCAATTCTGAAACCAGGTCTCCAAGGCCCAATTATTTAGTCCCTGCTTGCTTCCTCCTGCTCTCCTTCCTACTTTTGCCCTCTTTCTGTGGTCTCCAAGTCACTCTGGCCTGCCTTCTGTTCCTCACATTTGCCAAGTTCCTTCCCTGCATGTAACCCTTTCCCTTGGTTGCCTTGCCTCACAGTGTCCTTGGCTGATTTCTTATCACGGGTTAAGATTCCACCTCCTTAGATAAGCTTTGTCTGGTCATTGGGACTAATCCCCATCCTCTGAGACTTGATCATTCCAGCCTGTTTTTTGATTCATACAGTTCACCACATTTATGCTTATTTATGCAATTGCTTCCTCTTGTATTGTACAGCTCTTGTCTGGAATGTGCACTCCGTGAAAGCAGCAAACTGGTTTGGTTTGTTAGCTGCTACCTCTACCATGCTCACAACAGTCCCTGATTTATAGCAGTGCTGAATAAATATTTGTTGAACTAAGTGATAAATAATATTTTTAGATTGGCTATCCACTACACACTGAACACTACATATTCAAAGAAGAAAAGAAAAGAATTCTTACCCTAGAGATACTCAAAACCTAGTGACTCCAGGCAGTTGGTTTTCTACTCTATTACACAGCCATTAAATTTCCCTCAGCAACTGGCAGATTCCTGGAGACTGGGGTCACCTGATTTCCAAAAATAGTCATCAACTATGCTTCCAGATTGTTCACTGGTTAAGGATTATACCTCTCAATTTGCTTATGATAGACTCCTTTATAACTGTTGTTCTGACATTATCACTTGTTAACATTATCACTTGTTAACATCCCCCTTGGGGCTGGAGTGATAGCACAGCGGGTAGGGCGTTCGCCTTACAAGCGGCCAACATGGCCGACCCGAGTTCGATTCCTCCGCCCCTCTCGGAGAGCCCGGCAAGCTACCGAGAGTATTCCATATGCCAGACACAGTAACAACAAAGTCTCCAATGGAGACGTTACTGGGCCCGCTCGAGCAAATCGACGATCAACGGGAGGGCCTTTACCTTTACCTTTAACATCCCCTTATGCTCTCAAAAGTGTACCAACTTATATTATTAAATTACATGGTTATCCTATTCAGAGTCCATCAAATGCTGAAAATTCACAGTTATTGTTAGAGTGATTTAGCCATGTAGGCAGCATCTGTTCAAGAATATGAAAGACTAAATCATATCACTCAAAAGGGGAAACTTCCAAAGTTAAAAACCCGAGAGAGGAGAAAGAATGACTGGATCTATCTCTCTAGTTTCAATTAGAGATTCTACTAATGAAGCTATAATTTTTCTAGACATGTTCGATAGTTCTGAGAAGTGCAAATGAGAGCTACATATGATCACATAAAATAGGTCAAGGGTATTTAATTGCTCCAGAAACTATTTTTTAAACTACACTGGCTTTTCCTCCTAATTACTATTACAATTCCTATTCTACAGATGATGATATCGAGGCTTAAAGAGGTGGAAAAACTGTGAAGTTAAAAATGTGAATCCTCTCATTTCTTTATGATCTCCTGCCCCACCACAATGCTTCTCAAACAACTAAATGGATGATAAACAAATACATGTAAATAGGCTTGAGAACATGTGTAAACTATGTTTTCTATAGAAACCTATTTTCTATAGAAAAATGCCCAAACCTATTTCATATTAAAGAGTCCGGTTCATGGTCAAGGAGTGATTTGGGCGTCTTCCTTGAAGAGGTTTATGCCAGAGTTTTCTAGGCTACTTAAAGGAATAGGAGACCACTCTCGGATCCCTGGGGCTTCATGCTTCTACCTGTCTACCAATGACATCCATGCTTTTAACCACCTTTCAAGATTTCTTTTCATCCCTAGAGTGAGCTTTCTGGCTTTACATCTCATTTTTTATTTATAAGATAGTAAGTCTCCATAGGGGAACCTTTATGTTGGTTTGGATGAATATCCTTACCACAACTCAGTAATTGAAGCCTACAGGCCATTTGGAGCAAAGAAGATGAAAATGAGGGGGAAAAAAGAGACATCTGTAGGGAAAAAGAACAAGTGATGGGCTGTTTTTAGCCTCTTAAATACTCTGCTGGTTTTTAGCCTCTTAAATACACCTACTCTGTGGGTAAGAAAGTGCATGAATGTAGAGGAAGGTTGGGGACCAAGTGACCAAGGGTCGTACCTACGTTTTTCAACTAATAATGTTTGTGTTTTCTGGATTCAGATTCGGATACTTGGCTTCATGAAAGTGTGGGCTAAAGAGAGGAGACTTATAAGCAGGATCAGAATCCTTCCCTGCCCAGTCTCCTCATTGCAAAGTGGTAATAGGCGGGCTGCCCACTGGACCTTGTATCTGGGGGTCCCTGGTTCAGTTAAGGCTGAATTTCCAGTGACTTCTGTTACTCAGATAACTCAGTTATCAGCTTCTTGTATTTCTCTTCTTTCTCTGCTTCCCACCTTCTCATCCACTCTTCAAAACCTTTCTATTTCCTCCAGGGTGACTGTAACTGGCTGATTTTGGACACAGGTCAAAATTGGGGTGACCCAGGCAATATAGTTCTTGAGTGTGAAAAACCTACCTCAGCCATTCTATTGTTCCGGGTGGCCTGTAAAATTGATGTATGCTATTTTTTTAAAGGGTCATTTAACCTTTCCCCGCCCAATATTTTGTTACCTACAATCGGATTACTTTTCAGCTTTCAGAAATATTCGTGAGGCTTCCACACATCGGTCCCTATTAAAGTCTTAGGAAAAGAATTGCGGTAAAGAAATATCAACGTGCACGTTCTGTTCCCGCCGCCTCCTCCTCCACCTCCCTCCCCCACTAGCTCCTAGATCTGCAGGGCTCCATCCATCAGCAAAGCCTCTTGGGCGCCAGTCCCCGGGTCTCGGTCGGTCTGGAAACGGATTCCGCACTGCCCCCCCTAGAGGGCGCACTCTTTGCATTTTCCAGGAGCCGCCCGGCTCGGCCGGCTCCCAGGCTCCATAAAAGGGGAGGAGGCGGATCAGTTTCCTCCTCTCATTGAGAAAGACGAGGATTGGAAGGCTGGGCGTATAAAGCCGCGCCGAGAGCGTGAAACAAAGCAGTCGGATCGGAATTGGCCTTGGAGGCGCGTGGTGGAGTCAGGCAGAAAACTTATTGGAGGGGAGGAACAAGCCCGCTCCTCTAGTTCTCCACCTCTGCGCCGCGCCTCAAGGGTTCCCACCAGCCTTGCGGATTTATTTTTATATCCGTCTTTTTTTTCCCCAACTAGAAATATAGAGAGACTATATATCTATACGTATATATTTTTTTCCTCTTAAGAGAAAATTCCTGTTCCGAGAGAAAAGAAGGCAAGATCAATGAAGGAGAGAAGAGCCAGCCAGAAATTATCCAGTAAATCTATCATGGATCCTAATCAGAACGTGAAATGCAAGATAGTAGTAGTGGGAGATAGTCAGTGTGGGAAAACCGCGCTGCTGCACGTTTTCGCCAAGGACTGCTTCCCCGAGGTGAGTGAGTGGCCGGCTGGGGCTTCCAGGAAGGGGGTGGCTGGAAGGAGATGGGGGGAAATCCCCTGCCTAGAGGTGGGCTTCTCCGTGCTTTGGCTCCTTCAGTGCTTAAGGAAAAAATAATTAAATAAAGTACAACCCTAACCCCTTTCCCCAGCTTAGACTTGCTGGGGGGGAAGGCAGCAGGCTTTGAAGCACCGAGGGTCTGGGACGCGCCGGCACTTTCTGCTTTTAGCTTGAGATTCTGAAACTTGTTTGGTCAAGTGTGCAGAACCTGGGAGACTTGGGGAGGCACGTTTTAGAGAGCCGCGGGTGGGGTCAGCAGGGGCTCCGGCTAGGGTCACCGGGCTTAGTGGTGGGATCTACCGGACTCCAATTACGATTCCGTTTTTAAGTGAGCAGGGAGGTGGTTTGGGGAGCGTTTTTTTTTTCCTACCCCACTCAGAGCGCATTCTGCTGGTGTCGTGCGTGGTCAGATAACCTCTCTGCCCTCTTTTTTCCCTTTGTCCATTTTGTGTGTCCAGAATTACGTCCCGACGGTGTTTGAGAATTACACGGCCAGTTTTGAAATCGACACACAAAGGATAGAGTTGAGCCTCTGGGACACTTCGGGTAAGTCACTAGACCGCGTGGCCGCTCGGACCGGGATTCCAGCCGCTCGTGGGGGGGGGGGGGGGACATTGGCGGTGGAGGGGGTCGCGCGGCTGGTCTTGGGGCTCCAGGGTCTGGCGAGAGCTCTGCAGCACCTCCGACGTGAACTTTGGCTATTCTAAGGGATTTCCCCCGACCCCTGCAGGGTGAAACGTTAGTCGGGGATGGGGCGCATGGCTAGGGGGCGGCGGGGTGCGAGGGGATGCCCGTGGGGGGGGGCGGCGGGGAGAAGGCAGCTCAGTGCCCGCTGGGTGACCCCATGATTGGAACCCTCGTAGCTTAGTGGATCGGAGCGATGAGCCAGCGCCGGTGGTGCTCGAGGGGCCTGGGAACCGGCGAGGTGGCCCCGGTGGTGCGCCGCGTGCCCGCGCAGAGCCACCTGGCAAGGCGGCCCGCGCGCTCCCGGCGGATCTAAACTGCTGGTGGTGGCCGGGGAGGCTAGGGGCGAGCGCGGCGGAGGTGGCAGGAGGCAGCATCTCCCCGGAGCGACGCCGTGGCGTGCGGATGCGGCGCTAGCGAGCGGGGAGAGGAACGTGACGCCTACAGCCAGGAATGTGCCGGCGGCGCGCGGGCGGCGGACTCGGGGCCGCGTGATCCCCGGGGCCGCCCGGTTCCCCCCCGACCCGCGGCTCCCACCCCCCACCCCCGGCTCCCGGCGCCCGCGTCATTCTCGCCTGACCCCAATTGCATCACCCTCGGCCGGCCCATCCGGCCTCGAGAGAGCTGCATGGTTCGCCTTTGACCCGCGCGTCCAATTGGATTATTGGCGTCGTGGTGAATGATTTCCAAGGGTCCAGGGTTCAAGGTGGGGTTATCGCCTTCCCACGCGCCCACCCATCTACTACCTTGCGCGGGGTGGGAAGGGTGGGAGCGAGGCCCGAGCACCCAGCGGGGCGGGAACATTTCTGGAGAACTAAAGAATTGTTCCATGAGGGGAATGGGGGCCGGGCACTAGGGGCCGGGGTGGGGGTGGGTTGCGCCTCCCGGAATCCCGGGGCTGAGATTCCCAGGATCCTCTCTAGGAGAAGCCGGCGAAAGCAGATGATTTCCAAAACTAGTGTGGAGGCTGGAGCCATAGGACAGCTAAGGGTGTTTGCCTTGCACACTGCCAACTCGACCCGGGTTCGATCCTCAGCATCCCTATAGGGTCCCCTGAGTCAGGAATGAATCCTGAGTGCAGAGCCAGGAGTAAACCCTGGGCACCGCTGATTGTGGCCCCAAACAAACAAACAAACGAACAAAAGTGGCCTCCTCGGCGGGAGGCGGAGCCTCCAGGAAAGCCGGGTCCTTCGGTTAGGTCTGGGAGCTGCACTGACTGCATTTCCAGGGGAGCCGAGCCAAATCCCGGCGAAACTGGCGCCGAGCAGCGCGCAAGTGCCAGCACGCTCGGGCTGCCAGGCGGGGAGGCTGAGGTGGAGCTGCTCTCATCTGGGAGTGGCTTTCTTGGAGGTGCTTCGGGGCTTTTCGAGCTTCCCACAACCCAGAGCGAGAACCTCCGGAGCCCCTGGGGACCGCAGGAGATTAGAGAGCGGGAAGACGGGCCAGACCTGGCAGTGTCGCCCCACACACAAAGGCGAGCAAGAAGTCTCCCACGAGCGCCTCCAGGGGCGGCGCCTGGTGCTCGGCGTGGGGGAGTGAAGGGCCGCCTCTGCTTCCCCTGGAAATGCTCGCCAAGGGCCAGAATCTTGCCTTTCGAACTCTAGGGATCGCTCACACTTTCTCCCGAACTGTAGAGAAAGTGTTGATCGGCAGAATTCTGAGTGTTCTCTATATTTTAAGGTGGTTTCTACCATCAGACTTGCCCTTCCGTCCAATCCTTAGTAAGCTCCAATTCCCACGTACATCCTGGTATTTCTTGTCCCTAGAGAACGGCATAGCTGATGGATGCAGTAAAAATTAGTACCGGTACCCTGCCCCCCTTTTCTCCCTATCCTCCTTGAACCGTCTTTGGACCCAAGGCAGGAGAATATAAATTATTTCGGAGTGGGTTCTGTGAGTCTAATCCGGTGATAGATAGAAGTTTGTGTTTAGGTCTTAGCTACTAGTTACTGGGGATTTCCATGTGCAAATCCCCTACTACCCTGAGTCTCTTTTTCATCCTTTGTAAAAAGGATACCAAGTTAGGGAATGTGCAGAATTCCCCCAGCTGTACCCTGCTTGGCTTTAGAACTCCCAGACAGGCAAATTTTTTGTGTTTCCCAGGATGTTAGCTGGCCTTCCCTCTTATTGGACCTGGCATTCTGTGCTGGGGTTTTCACCACCTACAGAGCAAGGCAGGCTCTGAGCAGAGCCCCTGTTTCCTGCTGGATTTAGGGAGGAGATGGATTTGAGTCCTGGAGGAATGGGTGGGCTGGTAGGAATGCTGGGTTAATATCCCTGTCTCAAGCTTCAAGAGTCACAGGACCACCAACGGAGATTTTAGATTAGGCTCCCAAAGTGCTAAATTGACTTTTACTAAAAGAGGAAAAAAGCATATTGTTTTTCAAAGGCTAGAAAACAAACAAAATGAGGGCAGTTTATAGTTAGAGGCAATGCTTTTCATGTGTAGAGAAACTTGACTTCAGATATTTTGAAGAATTTAATAAAAAGCAGTTTGTAGTCAGAGCACATATAGCATCATGCCTTGCACACAGTACTCACCCAAGTAAAATCTGTTGAATGAACAAATGAATAATCATAGGCATAGTTTCCTAGGAGATGCGATTCAATGACATTTATTACACTGAATTACCTAAGCTCTGAGAATGGCAACTTTATAAACATTGTCTTTCAGCAAATTAAAGATAATCACCTGAAATGAAGTCTTTAGTGAAATAATCACTTGTATTTTTATTTAATAGAATAAAGCCTATGCATATTTAACTAAAATATAAAGGTTTGGGGGAAAATGATTAAGAAAATGTTACACTGCAAAATTATCCAGTAATGAATTCTTACTTCAAATTTAGGTCCTATGCAAATGGAAAAAGGAGCATAAGGAATTATTTAGAATACCATTATGTTGTTTGTGAGGTGAAATGTGAGTTAATTAAAAATAGTCACTAAGCACTGCATACATTCTAAGAATAGACTGTTTCCACCAAAAATTGTTTTTCATTCATGAATAAAGTACATCCAGCTAGCAATATTGTATCAGCAACTAGTCATTTCAAGTATCTTGAACATTTTCTCATTTTGTCCCAATGTTTTATAGCAGATTTCTGGATGGGATTATTTTTTGACAAATGTTTGATATTTTCTTTGCCCACTGAGCCATTTGTTGCGTTCAGGTTGTGAACATAATTGCATCTTGATACATCTTCCCCAAATACTATCAATTGAAGTCTAAAAAGAAGATTCAATCCAGTCTCTAAAATCCTAGATGTCAGGTTTTCATATCCCCTTCTAGAACCTTGTGGAAGTTAGCGATCGATATATGAGTCATGCTTAAGATCTGCTCCATAGGGAGGACATAAACTTTGACCCTTGGGATGGCATTCATATCCTGTTCAGTTTCCTCCCAGAGGGCAAAGGCTTAGCTGCAATATCTGTTCTCTTGTTTGTCTTCTGTCCTTGGACAGCTTCTACTTCTCATCCTGCTACACTTTTACCTGTAGTCATATAAAATTACCATAGACAAAAGTTTGCCAAATTAGGTATAAGAGAAAGCATCAAATATGAGACCTCTTTATACAAAGAATAAGAGAGGAGAATTCATTTTGCATTTTCTGAGACACAGTAGCTTACCAGATCCTTCTGTCTTTTCCACTATCACCCCCTAGCTTTCTTTGTGCATATGCTGCACACAAGTTAGAAATTCAGTGTTAAGATAAAGATGCAGTGTTAATTAAAATCATACCTGGTGAGTGGGGGAAAAAGAAGTTCTATAAAGGAAGCTCTCCTCCCTTGGTTGGGCTCACAGTTGACCTAGGATGAGCGACTTTTGTCAGGGCCTTGAACTTTGGGGTCTGGTCCCACCCCACCCCCACCCCAACCCCATTTTACCTTGTCAGCTATTCCTCTTGCTGATCTCTGCTCCAGTGTGTTTTCTGATAGGAGACACCCCCCACCACCCCCAGCACACATCAATTAAAGCAACCACAATGGCACTTTGCCAGCTTATTTTCTATGACTGCATAAAGTTATTCCAGCCCTCTCCTGCACTCCACAAAGTAAATGAAGTCATTTAAATAATGCTACATGAGTCCTCTAAAAGGAGGGGTTTTTTTAAGGCCTATGCACATAGAACTATAATTTCTGATTTTTTTACTCAAATATGTCCTTTTCATTGATAGGTTGAACTTTTTTTATTGTTACAGAAATGGTCATAAGGGATTGCAAGTCATTCAAAGAATTTCTGCAAAACATGGGGTATTGGTTTGGTATTTTGAAGCACTAAGTAAAGCCAGAGTAGTTCTAATGTCTGGTACTTCAGAATCTGCCACGTTTGCCAGACATGAAAGCAATTTGTAGCATGAAGCCAAATGCCTCCTAATAATAGAAACTTAGTCATTAAGTATCACCATATCTTTTCCTAAGTGATTTGATTGCGGTGTAATTTCAGCACATGTGATTTAGGGAGGAATAATCAGTTATGCCGGCTTTTAACCAAGGCAAGTTAATGCTCATTTTACTTAAGGCATATTATTTGTTTTAAAATTTTCAATTCCGCTATGAAAATTTCCCACAATAACTATGCTCTTGCCTCATGGATAACCTTAGAAGCTGCTTTTAGGCCATGCATACTAAAGTTGGCACTTCTTGGAATCATTTTTAGCATAATTAACAGAACACAGTATTCTTTAAAGACATTTAAAGAGAGAAAAGAAAAATCTTATTTATTTATGACTCAATTTTGAGGACAAACTCCTTTACAAATAACAGTCTTTCTTGGTTCTTTATTTGTACCTTGGATATGATTTGAGAAATGGTCTTGGTGCTGAAAACTTTATTGAAATATTTGATTCTGGGGATTTGGGGGA